GTACGGCAGTGAAGCATCGGTGTTGAACACAGATGTCATGCTGTCGATGATGATCGTCCTCCCGCCTAAGCACTTTCTTACGGAGGGCCAAGAGCTCAAATATCGTTGTAGTTGCTGGGGTTATGAATGCGCAAGTAAATGGACCCGGCACTACTGAAGCTAAACTGGGTCGGGTTGAACTGGAGTCGGATACACGGACAAAGTCAAATGGCTACCAGTGTTGCGTGTTGACCACAGGCTGCTTCTGAGCAGCACTAAGTCCCGAAACAACCGAAACGCTTTAGCAGATAGTGCGTTCACTGCGAGCCGGCATCCAAAGGGAATACCGCCATTAGCTTTGGGTATTGTAGGTAATTGAAAATTCCCAGATAGCCCGGAGGAATAACATACAAGCGAAAGTTGCATCTGAGAAGTCCTTACCCGAACAGCGAGCTGTGACATGTGATTACGTGACTGAAAGGTGGCGCTATACCCAAGCGCCTGTTAATGACACTGGTGACCAGTTGCTGGTGGCTGAACGGATGCGTGGAAGTCGCGTGTTAGAAACTCCCTGGAGTTTCATGAAATTTCCACCGTTGATTATTTCTGGTAAGGATGAAAATGCTGTACAGTTCCTCAGCTTTTCATCGCACGTTGACTTCAACGAAATGTCAACAAAAATGTCAAATGAGAATTCCTACTACTAACAATTGTTGTTCGCTATGGAACACCTGGGTGGATTCTGATCGCGCGTTTGTAAAATGCCGCATTGCTCTGCGTTTTCTGAGGGCATGCAGGATGCGCACTTTTCACCGAGGCGCTCTGTGATCCTGCCAAAATAACCTACTGAAATCACTTTTGGACAATACACCCGATGTTGACTCTTACTGGAGAACAATGTCCACAACCATGGGAGAGGCCAGGCACCTTAAGCAATTTCCAGTCATTTGTGAAAACGCTCGTCGCTTTTGATAACGTCCGTAGTTGGCTAGCGCCCACTCGTTTCCCGCTTACACTGAAGATCCATCCAAACTAGTTGTGGTCGCACAGCAGTGAGGCACCAGTCACTGTTTGGGGAATGAATATGTCACGTAGAACACAAGGTTGACGGAAACCCGGGGACTGCGCCTACCTGATGAGCCCCCAAAATGGGAGAAACCGGTCGTAGGCGGTCGATGGATTTTCAGCAACCTTATGAGTAGTACATTACAATGGATGTCTTCTCCTTAGACAATAAAGGTGTACAAGAACAGGCCTAAACCAGGCACATCACTCGAGGACCAGCAAGCCTGCATCCAGTCGTAGACTGACGCCAATCGAATGATTTTGTACGATAGTTATTCCATTGCAAGAGAAAGTTCCAGTCAGTGGGGGTATTTCATCGAACTGAAAATTCATATCACGGTGCGGGACTCGTTCGTCAACGGCGAACGGGTATGCGTAGGAATACTACTCACAAGGTTGCTGAGAACTCTTCGGTCTTGCTTATGGTTTGATCGTGCTGCTAAGGATCTCGTGTATGGATTTAGGTTTCACTCAACGAAAAAGTATCCAATACTCAGCGATAACATTCCGATTCTACATCGAAAACCGTTTGGGCAAGTGTCTGAATCCTAAGAATAGTCTAACGTTAATATGCGCCGAAACTCCGCCCGAAAAAACCACCCCTCTAAACCAATCGAGGTTAACCAATTAGGAGAAGAGTCAACATAATCGAAATCTATGTACAACAGGGTAATGAAAATGATCATCACATCGTAATCACAAAGTTTTTCCTGTACGGTCTTGAGCTTGTTGTTGTTGTTGTTGCTGCTGCTGGCGCTGACTTTGGGCAGCTGCAATGGCAGACGCTGCTAATGCCTGATTCTGTAATTGCTGTAGCTGTCTTTGCTGCTGCTGCTGTACTGCAGCAGCCAACTGTGCGTGGAATAGGGAATTCTCCGCTGATCCAGGAACTAAAACACGCAGTTGCTGTTGTTGTTGCTGCTGCTGCTGTTGTTGTTGTTGGAGTAGTTGCTTCTGTTGGAGCGCCTGAAGAGCTAGAATCTGTTGTTGTTGCTGTTGTGAAGCTAATAGACGAGTGGCGGCGTTTTGAGCCAGCTGAACAGAGAGAAAAGCCTGTGAACGGAGCGGGAAGGTTGAGGGACTTTGAGCGGATAATCAACACAATCAGAGGTTGATACAACCAGGCATCGCGGTGTATGCAGGTTGCAACGTAATCATAAGCAACCGGTGCTAGAAATGAAACAGTTTTGGAGCTAATATAAACATCTGCAAATGAACCTCAATTAATTCAATTCAATGTATCAGCTATGAACCGTGTGCCATAGGCACAGTGGTTCCAACTGCTACAACTTCTATCACCGGAAAACGGGAAAATGGGATCTACAACCAAACCCTGGAGGCGGATGCTCAGTTTATTCGAAAATAGGGCAGCTACGCGCTGAAGGCGATAGCTTAGATGTACGAGTGCCACTGAATGCGCGACTAGGCCGTTTCCGTCAATATCATTAACAGGGCGAGATAGCTCAAGTGGGTAGAGCGCGAATTTACTGAACGGAAGGTCCGTGGTTCGAACTCGACGTCTGCGCCTCGAGTTCCCATGTCTAGGTGTGGACAACCTGGCAGTATCCCAGCCCCCGTGCTTCCTTCGAAGCAGCTAGGCACCGGAAGGGTGTTGCACCTGAACGATATCATCAACCAATGGTGATTTGAGTCCCGGGGTCCCCACCCAGGGAGGCGGCAGTTGCCCACCCGAGTAAGTTTACTGATTAGTGTTTTCGAAATTCGTTGCCAGGTCATACGCTGTCCACCTCTCAGTCGCTTTCACTAAGCTCAGGGCTGGGAAAAATAGCTCTGTGAGGCAGACGGTCTTCTGGCATGCAAAGCAACCTAGTGTTAACGGTAGGCAAACCTGCAATGATGTGAGGTATACAACCACATTAAATCTATCTGCAGCAACCCTCGTAGATATCCGATGAGAAGCCATTTCCTCTGAGGTGTTCATAATGCGTATCCCACTGACTAGAATCTAGTATGCCATCCCTATGAAGAAAGACCAATTGTTCTGCTCCCCCCCCCCCTCCGTGCTAAGGGGACTAAGAATGCAAGGTGTGTCAACACGAGGCGGACAGAACCAGCATTCCCTAAATCGACGTAATGACATGTCACTATAAGAATTGGATAATTGTACCAAACAACACATTTACGTCCAGATGTCACTAAAACGCACGGGAACGAGGTATTATAGTGAAACAAAATGAGACCACCTTATTGACGTCAACACACTGGTTGACAGCAACGTTTCATTACCACGCAATCATGTTATTTGAGGATGTCAACGTGAAAAGGCAAATAAGAGATTCAGCTGTAGCACCCTTCCGGTGCCTAGCTGCCATGTCACCCGAAGGAAGCACGAGGGCTGGGATACTGCCAGGTTGCCCAAGCCTAGACAGGGGAAGTCGAGAGGCGGTGGTCGGATTCAAACCACGGATCTTCCGGTCAACAAATAAGGGGTACCCAGTCCTAGATCATAATAGACACGCCAAGGCACCTACATCTCAAACATGTAGACAATCTGGATAGAAACTGACAGCAAGGATGGTCACGAACGTCCACTCATATTTACTTCGCCCCTTACCAATAGCGCCCATAATGCCTACAGAAAAGGTGAGTGGTCCAAAGTGAAAACTGAATGAACAAGCCTTTTAAAAACGTATCCTGGTTTGTATAAACTAGTTTTGCACGAGAACTTGTAATTACCGTCCCTGAAAACAAAAAGCCAGCCACCCCATCGTAGCGCAAAAACGTTCGTGTACGGCTCCCTGGAAGCATCGAGGTAAATTTTCGTGGTCAGATGCCCAGTGATGTAATTACAGCACATGAGTTTCGGCTAGCGAAGCACATCACCAAAATTTCAATTTTGTCAACCACAGAAAAGACAGGACACTTCGGGTTCCCGGAAAACTGGGTATCCAGCGAGCTGAAATCCATTCGTCTCCATAAGGGTTTATTGGAAAATCCAAACTACTTACCGGTTGAGTAGCGGTCTCCTGTGGCAATCCTAGACCAATAGCAGTTGCTTGCTGTTGTCGTAAAACCGCGGCCAACAACTGCTGCTGTTGCGCTGCGTTCAAAAACGCTTGTGTCTGCTGCGCAGTTTTCAAGGAGAGGGCAGAAACTACCGGATTTGTAACAGCGGTTGCACCAGCGACCGGGTTTCGGACTAGGCTTGAGGACAGAGGGGAAGCAGCACCAATCGGACCGTTGACAGCGACTGTGCACATGGGACTTATGTACGAGGCTGAGCTTGTGGCATCGTTGAACAAACTGACGGGGGTCAAGTGTCCATCGGTTTGAGATTTCAATGGATCATTGGTTTGTCTCAATAGCTGTGCTTGTAGCTTCTGTTGCTGCTGTAGGTGTGCCGAAAGCACAGAAGCTGCAATGGCATTGGCTGGCAGGCTGGCGGTCTGAATTTTCTAAATGAGAAGATGGAAAGTGCCGGTTCGGTTAGCGCACAGCTGGTAGTGAACCATTAAAGCTTCAGAGTACGAAGGTAGTAATATCGCGGAATACGCTCGTTTGCAAATTAGGCTGGTGTTGATGAAAGACAACTGAATCCCAGTTAAATCTTCAACGGAGTTCCTAGATCAGAGTAGTTGCGAAGAAGCTTACAGGAAATGAGACTGAGGCTGTGCATACATAAACGATGTTAACCTAAATAATCAATTATGGGTCTTGTAGTCGCGCATGTACAGTATTCAGGGAGTATACGAGTTGGATTCTTGCGTCCTGTGATTTCAGTTCCAACCTAGATCTACGATTTAGTGACCGTAAGACCGGCTAATAACATCAATCAAGTTTTGCCTAAAGATAGAGGCATGGGTCTCACGGTAACAAAGTAGATCACTCGGTTCCTTTGCGTGGATGCACTATTCCAATAGTGAATACATTCCTACTTTAGCCTCTGAGCTATGTACAGAGTTTTAGTGCTGATTTTTGGGACAAAACCAACAACACTAGATGTTCCGTTAAACTGTGTTGAAGGACACGCAGTATGCATATGGGAATATGGTGTTGGGCTGTCAATTAGTGCCATTCAAAAAAGAGAGAACGCAAAACAATACGAGATTGTACGGTCCCATTCATCCTAACTTCAAAGTTATAGGAATCCCGAGAAACATAGGAATCCCCAGAGAAAGCACAGCCCACTCAACAACAGTCAAATCATGGAAGGCAAAGTGGTGTTCCAAGACAGCTCATACCATTGCTTTCCAATGTGCTCTTGTGAACAAAAAACAATGACAAACAATGTCATAACTGCCATCACTGAACTTATGCATGCAAGCTGAATCCTTCCAATGGAGCAAAGGGATAGTTATGTACCTGTCACGCGTATTAGTCTCGTGACTCCAGAATGCAGTCATTTTTGAGCAGCAGTAGTACATGCAAACGACTCAACGGTGGGATGTCACTCGTAAACATCAGTAGTCGACATCACAAGAATGTGTTTAAGATTATACAGAAACCGTTGGTGATATCGCCGCAACTTGTGAGATCAATACAGTCGAAGCTTATAGCAAAATGTAGCTAACGTAAAAACTCCAAGAAATCCTACAGCTACATTAATATCGACGACAGGAATGTAAAGATCCGGGGGAATCTGTATGATTTTTGAGGCACGCGAATGAAGCACATGCCTCGCGAAAAAGGTCAGAGAAAGAGCGTAGTGATCGCTAGGACAGATGCACTGAATTCAAAAACAAATGGACAGCTTTTCAAATTTCAAGACTGAAATGTCGTTACCTCATGTGGCCTCTGCGACATGAATGCTGAAGTTTCCAGACTTATGAGAGCACCGAGGGCAAATGCTGGATACACTGAAGATTTCATCCAATAAACAACTATGAAAAGTATACTTGTAATGTACTACTCATAAGGTTGCTGAAAATCCATCGACTCCGCTCGCGCTCGGAATGGACGGATCTCCAGTATACCAAGGACAGCCACCATCGCCAACTCAAAGTTTTGAAAAATGGGTGGAAGAACAGAACCATCAACCGCCAAGTCCAGATCTATTCAGTGATTCAGCGGTAGACGAGGAATTTTGGACCTCTCACCAACACAACCCCACTGAGGCGGACACTGTACCTGTTGTGCAAACACCACCAATCCAATATCGACCACCCATGCTGGATTTATCGAATGTGTGGCACTCAAAACGACGCCAACTGTTCAGCCCGGAACCCTCTTCCCAAGACAATAACAAGCTATGGACCTTTGTGTACCGAGGTCAACCACCTCGATTTGAAAGTAATACCCGGGTGAACTGTTTGTATGTGGACCACGGGGACCACTATCACTTTGTGTTTGAGTGTTGTCCTCAGAACAAGAACAGGACCGTACAGAGACTGATGGAATCTGGAAACCTGGATAGAAGACAGTCCATGTCAATAATGGCCACCATCCAACCAGTGATTAATTGGAATCACTTTGCGGCCTACCTCGTCAGAGCTGCCCAAACCCCCATATGCTGTGTGGGGAAAAAACTGGTACATCTCAGAGACGACTTGTATAGGATACCAAGGGAGAAAAAAGATTGTGCAACACTATTGAGGGATGACCGTATATCAAAACAGAAACTCAACAACATTAACCGGAAAAGGAGGGAACTAATGAAGAGTCTCATTGAAGCATATGATGCCCGCAGTTATAACGAGTTCTATATGGCTATGTCGTGTGATGATAGGGACGACATATACGATGAATACGGGCCGCAACGGAAGGAGACGGCCGAACATTCAATCAATAACTATATAGCCGGGATGTTATCGAAACAATTCGCCACACGATTTGAAGAGATACTTATGGGTAATTACCATAACAGAGAATGTCAGCATCCGGCAGACACACTGGAAGGTGAAAAATGGCTGGATACATTGACGAGAGCGAACCACATCAATAAACAACTGCTGTTTGATCTCACCTTGGTTATGAACAAAGTCTGTAAACGCAAAAACGCCTTCGTCATAGAGGGGCCGACCACCACTGGGAAAACACTTTTTGTGAAATTAATCGCAGAAAATTACATTTATGGGACAGTCCAGAGGTCAGGTGACAACTCGCAGTTTTTCCTGATGAACTTGTTGAATAAAGCCCTGGCCCTCATGGAAGAACCCAGGATCACACAACTGACAGTTAACGATTTCAAGGAGTTACTAGGGCGGCAACCGTTTGATATACACGTCAAACACCAGAAGGATGAAAGACTCCAAAGATTGCCTGTGCTCATCACCACGAACAATAATTTGGTTTATTATGTTTTGGATCCGGACGGTAAAGCTATTTTGGAAAGATGCTTTTATTACAAATTTGTTGTAAAGGTAGGCAGTGATGAACTGCCTGATCATCATCATCAGTATCAGTTGATAAAGGACACGGCTGTTTCCTGTAGCAAAAGCCTTCTCCATCTCCCGAGCTTTCGATATCCACCAGAGCTCTCGGTCTTTCCTTAGACTCTTCACTATTTGGCGTTTGAGGGATTTGCGTGCGCCGTCGTACTCGTTGCCTGCTGGTATGGCTTTCCTGGCATCAATAATGGATAACGACCTCGACGACATCCAGTGGTCTTGTGGTCGAATTGGAGAAGTCGAGCAGGCAGCACTGAACGCCGCTAGTATAGCTCCTTTCACATTTTGCCACGCTTCATCCACATGTTCACTGCCACCACAGTACTGTTTTACTGTGGAGAGTTGTTGGGCTAGCTCAGATCGGTACTGTTGAGCTATGGCAGTTCTTCGAAGATAGTGGATTGGCACGTTTCTTGCCTGAACCTCCTTGTCAATTATGTACATGCCATTTCCGTAATTGGTACTTTAAAAGTATCTGAAATTTTACTCCCTTACTCCTAACCTGTCTTCTATTTAAACACGTGAACTGGGTCAACTAGTCATTAGGATGGATAACGTACAAAAGAAATGGTGGTACGACCGCATATTTCCTATTCCCGCTCAAAACCTACTATTCACACTCACCGATAGATGGGATTGGGTTAAACCATCCTACGATTACTTTTGGTCACTGTTCGGATTACATCCTACTAAATGGGATAAGGTAGAACATATCAAAAAATTTATAGAAAACCACCCAGAAGACCTAGCCCAACACGCCGAGATACTACTGAAAGGATGGGACGACGGAGGAAACTACCAAAGTCTTATGGAAAAAGTCATGCACTTCTACAACACGTATATGATATCAGGCACCATGCAGAAGAGAAAATTAAGAGATATGCTAAAAAAAATGCTACCACCACTGAAAACCCAAACCGATACCTAGACGCAATATACGAACTATCGAAAAACAATCCCGACGTTCAACCCTATACAGGTGATAAACTACACTGGTTAGGGACTAGACGACCAGACCCCATAATAGAACAACCACGGGAAAATGGGGACGAAATCCACTCACCTCTAAAAACCACTATAAAACCAGAAGAACACGACACTAAGCCCACAACTACTACAACCACTGTCTCAGGATAGACGTACACAACAGACGAGCACAAACTTACCACAACCACAAAAACACCCGAGGAAGTCTCGATTATGGAACCAAAAAGACAAAGACTTGACCGTTCAACCAGTCATTAACTGGAACCACTTTGCAGCCTACTTGATTAGAGCTGCCCAAACACCAATCTGTTGTGTCGGTAAGAAACTGGAACACTTACGTGATGACCTATACATTGTACCCAGGGAACGTAAGGATTGTGCCACACTACTGAGATGACAGAGGATCAAAACAAAAACACAACAACATTAACAGAAAACGCAGGAGGGAACTGATGAAAGGACGCATTGAAGCCTACGACGCAAGAAGCTACAATGAATTCTATATGGCAATGTCGTGTGGTGACCGAGACGATATATACGATGAATATGGCCCGCAGTGGAAAGAGAGCCGAACATTCCATCAATAACTATATTGCCGGAATGTTAGCCAACCAACTGGCTATGCGATTTGAGGAAATATTAATGGGAAATTATCACAACCGAGAGTGCCAACACCCCGCAGATACACTGGATGGAGAAAGGTGGCTCGATCAACTACTGCAGGTCAACAAAATAAACAAACAACAAATGTTAGTGGACCTAACCCTTGTGATGAACAAAGTCTGCAAACGCAAGAACGCATTCGTCATAGAAGGACCGACAACCACCGGCAAGACACTGTTTGTAACACTAATCGCCGAGAATTACATCTACGGCACAGTTCAGAGGTCAGGAGATCACTCTCAATTCTTCCTAATGAACCTCCTCAACAAATCACTAGCTTTAATGGAAGAACCTCGCATTACACAACTGACAGTAAACGATTTCAAGGAACTACTGGGAAGAAATCCTTTCGACATTCACGTCAAACATCAAAAGGACGAACGATTGCAGAGACTCCCCGTGCTTATTACTACAAACAA